ATTTCCATGCCACTGGAAATTATTAAGCAGAAGTTAGATTACCATCTGTTATAAACACTCCATCCTGGTTAGGAAAATGGAATAATTCTTTGAAGTATCATTCAACTTCATAATTCTGTCACTTTATGAAGAAATAAAGTCATACTAATGGATAAGTGAGAGCTGTTTTCATACTCAAAAGAAGTAGAATAACATTTGACCCACCATTCCACCCTGTAGTTCACGGCTATATATTTGTTACGGTTTATATACAGAAACCTGCTCATTTTACAAATGATACCACTGGATATGTCCAAATTACTTGGGAAGGGACACAAGTTAGTAAGCAAATAATACAAAACTGAAGACCACAACACTAAAGCCATTTTTGTCTGGCTTGGATAACTCAGCTTTGATGATTTAGATCGGCACTGAAAAAACCCCTCTCACGTGGACAGGAATTGGTTTTATTTTACTTGTGACACGCAGACAACTTATGACTGAGAACACTAGTTTTAAGCTCACTGTTAAATTCTGCATTTCTGCCTATATATCTAAACTGTTTCTGAGGTTAAAAAGGGAGACTAGTGGTGGGGAGGAAGGCAGAACAGAGCTCAAGGATCCTCTTCTGTAAAATGGAGCCCTCCTGAACAAAGACTCCTCCTGAAATACTGGGTAAGGATTAGGAGCAAGGATATTTTATTCAACCATGGTACTTGGGATTGGAACTTCATTGTAAGGCAAAGGATCCATAGCCAGTTTGGGGGAGTGGAAAGAGGAATTTAAAAACAAACATTTTAAGAACAAGAAAAAAGTTAGGAATCCTTTCTCAGAAAAATGTAGATCTATCATATTTTTTCATTTTAAGATGTCATCAATCTTAAAATGCAACTTTCAATTCCTTAAATAATTTCAGGTCAAAAAACCCAACTCAAATAAAATATAGACATCGATTATAAAATATATTTCAGTTTCAGAAACATCAAAAAATGTTTCAGAAATATGCATTGTACATGTACACATAAAT